CTAATAAAAGGAATTACAGTGAACACAAACTGCGTACAAATGGCAGAAACAGGCCTTCAGACACATTCATTATGGAAGCTCTTAAATCCCACAGCTATGCATCTTAATTAGAGTCAAGGTCCCTATTAATTATATCTTTGCGTTCAATTATTGCCCTCCAGTCATTACAGATGTGTTATTACAGAAGGTTCATGCAGTCAGTGATGACAGGGTTCTGTAACAAGGCCTGCTATCAGTTTGTCTGTCCCTTTAAAACTCTCCAAGCAACCTCAATGTCCATGCAGTTACTATCATAGCGTGGAAGTCATGCACAGTTATTTGTAATGTTACTGTTTACTTGGCAGCCATTTTTTGACAGTCAATTTTTTTCCCCGATCTGACAAGCTTCATTAGACAAATGAGTGAATAAAACAAACTGAAGGAGGAACCTAAGCCATAACTATAGACCAGAACATTATGACTTCATGGGATGGGCTCTTTTGACTTGGGCTAAGCAACCACATATTAAAAAAAATACTCAGAACACCTTAGCAACCACATAGCAATGCCCTGGCAACCACTCACAGCTTTTAATAATTGTGCACAGGAAAACACTACTACTAGTAATTAATTTTATTTCAACCTAATGTTTTCAATTGCCAAACTTTAAAAAAACCCAAAAAAAAAACAGGGGTTCTGCAGGTTTTAAGAAGAAATATTGAACATTTTTAGTGACATTTTAGAACCACGTAAAGAAAATTTAAAGAATAAATTGAAGGGAACACAATACATTCTCTAAATTTAAATGTCTAGGGATGAGTTGTCTTAGATTTCAAAGTTTGTACTAATGACGCTCGACCCGTACTGTACAAAAATGACATAAGAAGTCATGTTTATGGTGAAACTGATCAAAATACTGTTTATGATATATAAACATAAAACAAAATCAACTTAATTAAAAGGGAAAACAAGTTTTCATACCCCACTGACAGATATTTGTTCTTGTTTTAAGCATAAACTCACTTCTTTTTGTTAAAATGTTCAAGATTTCATTTTACACATTTGCATCTCAAGTAAATATATCCTGATTTAAGGATGATTAGATAAATAAAAAATACTGAGGAAGACATAAATTTTTTGCCATGCATGCAACATGCAATGGTATGACTATGAATTTATGACTTTCTGTTCAGAATAAAGACCTTTTATAAGGTCTCAAATTGAAAGGTGAATTGACTTTTTAAGACCCACAGAAATTCTGTTAAAATGACATTTTTTGGCTTTTAGCTTGCACTTATTTTTGCTCATGGATCTTTTACTTAACAGAAAGTTTTTTTACTCCACTGAAAGTATATGCAAACCCTAAACTTACACATAAATGCTAAGAAATAAATTGATTACATAAATGAATAACAATTACAGCAACTGCTATTTTTTCAAACATCGCATTTTGCCACTGTTCCATCTTGTTCAAGCCTGTGTAATTTAATATGAACCTACTGTACCTGTCTAGGTTTATAGATTTACATGCACGCAGCTGCACGTGGTAGAAAGATCAGTCACGTTAATGAATTAAGTAATATGATGGCATTATAAAAAGCATTATATTTGACTTGACTTGACTTGACTATATTTGGCTGTACCTGTAACAATGGCATTATTATAAGCATTTTGTACAATTTCAAACATTTTATTTTATTGTGGTTTTTTGAACTGTAACCTTTACTCCAACCTCTTGTTTGCATTCTCAGCTCTCTATGCACCACCTCCCTCTCTTCACTTCATTCTCAATGTGCCAGTATTTGCCAGTAAAATGAAATGGTAAAAATAGCTGTTGTGCTGGTATCAGACGCATCTCTTTGTTACCTGAAGCAGGTCAGAGACACACAGCTCTGACCTCCTCTCTTACAGCTCACTCTTACCTTCTATTTTTTACTTCTACCAATACTGAACACTTACAAGTAAAATAAAAAAGAGTTAAAGATGAAAGAGTATTATGTATGAGATGTAAATAAGTTAGTCTTGTAAATTTTAATGTTAATTTACCTATTAATATTTGCATTATTAATTAAAAAAACCCATGAAATCGCTAGAACATTGTTTCTGTCCTTTGTTGGTGTATTTCCCCATTTAAAAGGTTGATTTGGTCGGTTTTTAGGAGTACACATAATCATACAGATGGTCTCAAAGCTAACAGACATGGACCAAACGCAACAAAACTCCAATTTTGATTTTACCGTCTTTAATAATCATCTAAATACCCACATGAGTCATGACTAAATGATTGATTATTGCGTAAATACAAAAGTGTAATTTTGGAAAAGCCGGCTGTTCTCTGGTCAGTCTGCACATGTGCAACATTACCAAGATGGAGGTCTGATCTATGCTTTGTTTAATCAGTCTTTATTTCTTTTATGCTTGCATTTGTATATGTGTGTCAGGTAAATGATCAACATAAACTGTTAACATATCGCTGCATCAGCGGCCCTCGCAGAGTACTATAAATATATCAACAGAGCGAATATGTCCTGCTTCGTTAACATAAAAACTGCCAAAATTAATGCAATTTTTGTATGATTATGCATTTCAGCAATTATTTAAAAATAGCATCATGCCAACATACTGTACAAAATGGCATTAGATGATGTAAAACAGAGCAAAGATTTAAAGTTGGCAGACTTTCAGATACATTAGATGATGCCAGAGTAATGAACTATCAGAAAATTAAGGATTGAATTTGCCCATGTGTAAAAATTAATAAATAATAATAATTCACAACAGAACACAATATTAGAGATTGCGGAGAGATGTTGCTCTAAGTGTGATAAAATATGTTAATCAATTCCATAAATTTAGAATTTGTTGAAGACCATGTGGAGGCAGGAAACATGGGAACGAGGCGTTATTTCCGCAGACAAGCCAAGCAGTCCATTTGTGCAGAACTTATTGTGCTAAAACACACAGATGACAATTTCAGAGTATAAATTGTTCTATAATGCTTAGCATACCAGTTACTACTGAGATCGGAGTTAAATATCAAACATTTTTCACGTCTTTCTTATTTTGAAAAGAGGACAGAATCCGGTGAGCCAAATGTTTTGGAAACCCTTAAATAGTTATTTGTAGCAATTTAACATGTTTTACTTTGATAAAGGTAGATTTCAATTGAAAGATTTACTGAAATTACACATTTCCACACAACAGATGGAGAAAATCCACACCAGGATTTACAGGTTTCCTTTTTTTTTCTGACAGGTGGGGAATCTTGATTCGTTAATTACCTTAAAACTAATTGCCTAGCCCACATGTACTGTAATTGAATCATATTTGATTTGGTCCAAATCCTCTGCCTGCGTCTTACGTATTTAGTTTCACCTGTGGTAGACGAAGCAGTTCATTACACCATAGTGGCTGAAGCAAGTTTGTATCATTTGAGTGTTTTTTTTTTTTTTTAAATGTGTGACAACTAGCCCTGTTTTCTCCTATATATTTGCTGTCTTAGTAAGTAGCACTGTAATGTAGTAATTGTGGATGATGAGTTTTTAACATCACATTAATGATCTGAGTAGGAGGTGATGTGTTAAAGGGGTCATATGATGCGATTTCATTTTTTCCTTTCTCTTTAGAGTGTTACAAGCTCTTGGTGCATAAAGAAGATCTGTAAAGTTGCAAAGACTAAAGTCTCAAATCCAAAGAGATATGCTTTATAAAAGTTAAGAGTTAGCCACACCTACCTAAAACGGCTCGTTCGAACACGCCCCCACATACCTACCTCACTATGTGGGAAGATTTGCATAACACCGCCCAAATGTTCACACAAAGAAAGAAGGAGTAACTTTTATTCTCGCTGTAATATTGAAAAGTGAAAAGTGAAAAAGTGAAAAGTGACGTGACATGTGGCCAAGTATGGTGACCCATACTC